TAATTATTGAGGTTAACTTAACTTTTAATAGTCTGACTACAGCAGTGATATGTAGATTCTATTCCACAGCATGATTGTAGCCTAAAATACTCCATGACTCAATGTAGCAGCCAGAAAAGGAAGCCACGGGGTCTCCCTCCACAGCTTCGTTTAATTTAAACAATAACCACGTCCTTCACAGATGTACATTGGACCGTGCGAACGAGGCAGAACCTAGCCTACGTCGTACTTCCGTAACGGTATAAAAAATATCTCCCTATATATCACTAAACAACAGCTTTGGAATCAAGTTTCCTACACCTGTTTGGCATTGCTTAGGCATTGCTTAGTTTACTTAAGACGTCTAAATTTGTTATTCTTCTTAAAGAAGAAGAAAAAAAAATCTATAATTTTTTCTTAACCTTGTAATCAGTGATGTAATCCTTAAGTGGTCTTTTTTTTTCGTGTACCCGGAACTACCAATATCCACGTGCTATAACGTGAGAAGACCTTGCACGTATTTATAAAAGTGTTAAAGACAGAGAGACTGGATTTTTCGAGATCTCTTCCTTTATTAGTAAAGGCTGTTTAAAGGAAGCGTGCGCTTTAAAACTGAGCTCCATCCATTTACCAGATATTGAAGTGTAAATGATGTTCATGTAATCAAGTTTATAGTCTGGTAATTCTTTATTTAATAAAGTTAAGTATATGACGCCAAGAAATGTTGAATAAAAGTATTTAATTAACATTACCGTCCCTCATTTAGTTCAGTTTGTTTGTTGCTAAGCATAAAGCTACACAACGGACTAATATGCTGTGCTAACCATGGGTATCGAAACCCGTTTTTTTTTTTAGCATAAAAAAATCGCCAGAATTACCAATGAGCTACTGGAGATGGAGGGGGCTTATCCATTTCAGATTTGTTTGTTTCGGAAATTCGCGCAAAGCTTCAAAAGAACTATCTACGCTGGCTGATATATAATCTGGATTTGACTTTCACTCTCATAACATACTCACGGCCATAAAGTGTGTAAAGCAAGATTTTGTCGCAAAGGGACGCGAACATTGAATCATCGGACTCAAAGTCCGGCAAACTAACCAATTGAACACGCCTGTCCTTTATTTGTTTCCGGAAAATTCGAAAAATTGTTTCAATGTTATAAACTACAAAAGCGGAATGATATGATAAATATTGACTGCTTTCAACCAATAATTATTTTTGTAAGACTTAATAATGTAGTTTCTTCTCAGTTATCTGTTAATAAGTGAAACAATGATAACGAAGTTTTGATATGGATATGACCTGCATTTTTTTATGTTATAGAAAGATATATTTAAAAAATAATGTGGATGATATTATTAACATTATGACTTCTAATGTATTTCCTAAGCAAAATGTTTTTCAATGAAAAAATAAGTAAACTAAACTTTCAGATCGTGAATTCAGAATAAATATACAAAAAAACCTGCTAACATTATGATAATCACGTGGAATTAAAAAAGTAAATAAATCTTTTGAAATTTTTAGAAAAACAGATAATCTAAAACCACGTAAACGTGAAATATTTCAAAAATTACTATCTTAATTTTGGAAGAATTAAATGTGTTAAACTATTTGTAGTTTCTATCAGATGATTCTAAGAATACTTATAAATATAAACTTGTTTTTGGGAGTAACAATAGACGCCTTAAAGACAGATAGCTAGATGATGTATATGTATTATTTATTGTTGTTTTATTATTTGAACTTTAAACACAACTTTTCAAATTATAAGGTAATTATCTAAATCAGTCTCCAAGAAGGAACCATAACTTATGATCATCACAAAAGCTCAGCTAGAATGAGTAATGCTAACAGCTTCCGCCCAGAAAAAAAAAAACAAGCAAGGCACGCTCCTTGAAACCATTGTCCTCGCCTCTAAAATTGGGGTTAGTTGCGGAAATAGTGTTCCACAAAAGGAAAAACAACAACAGAGCCATTAAGCTTTACATTACAGCCCCAAACGTGATTCGAAAGTTAGCTGAAAGTGTATTCTACTTGAGAATGCAAATTCGTTTATTGAGAAACAATAATAATTTCCATGAAAGTTTCTTGACTTGGAAAGTGTAAAACAAGTTACTTCATTTAATTGTTTTAAACTGTTTCCAAGTTTGCTTGTTTTTTCCTAAATGTGTCCATCCATAAGTTTCATTGTTTAATTAATTCTATGGTAAAAGAACCTACTATCACATAATTCTAGCTATAGGCGGCGAAACCGGGGAAGGAGGGGGATGGACACTGAGAACATATGCTCCCCACGTTTGTTT